AGCCCATTTACAATTCTACTGTGCATGACCAAGAAATGTCCCCCCTTTGGGAATGGCCTTAAGACACTTCAGTCAGTGGCACCGCCCCGGTGGTCAGTTGAATGCGTTGGCGGCCATCCCATTTTGGTTTGGACGGAAGAGGTGAAAGTGCAGGGAGTACTGTAAACATTGAGGGAAAGCATGCTGCCAAGCAGTGTTTGTAAAGAAAATGATTCACGATCTATTATGTTTTCTGACCATGTTGGAGACCAGCTTTTTGTGTTTCCAGTATTATGTGTTATTAAAAGTTTTGCTTTAGCCCGACAAGACCCTCGAAAAGTCTGCTGTGATCTTATCTATCGAGATTGACTAGTACATCACCAAGTCAAAGTGATTCACTACACAACAGTTTTGTACCATGGTACTTGACTTAAAGTCAAGTGCCATGGTACAAAACTGTTGTGTAGTGAAATGTCATCAAATCTTCGAAGAGCAACACAGTTTCCTTTCACTCACAGGTGAGTTGTGCAACTTGTAGGTTGCATATCTAGGCCTACATGTAAATAAGAATTAATATCATGAGGCTGGCCTATATATAGACTGTAGTGATTAAATATTATGTTGTACTGTAACTGTGACACTGAACACTGCACTGAGGGGAAAGAAAAAGCAACAATGGACAGTACTCTTTTTTAAGGTAATAGAATGAATGTCTCTTTTATGTTGTTAAAGTCTGAAGACATTTAAAAACACTACATCTTAGTCTATACTACCGGTACTAGATTCTATTATGTTTTTTTATCATCTATTTTGCTTGCAAATTTATTATTATTATTATTATTATTATTATTATTATTATTATTATTATTATTATTTCTCATATGTCGCATTATCGTGAATTCGTTTCCAATGTGAGTGGGTTGCTTTTAGAATTGTTTGTTTTTGTTTTCACATTTATTTTTGGAGAGATTAAAACTTATTTTCGCTGTCTAATTTGAACAGGCTGCGTGCGATGGGCCTTCTCATGGCGATTTTGCTTATTGGTATCCATCTGGGCTGTAACATCTGGCTGATCGTCAAGTACAACTTTGATCTGATACGGTATGTCTTAACAATGAAAACAATGGAATCCCATTACAAACTCCCCACCCCTTCCTTCGACCACTGTATTGTATACTTTTCTCAAAAAGCATTACGTTCCCATCAAAGGTTTTCTGGTCTTGTGCGGTGAATAGCAAATCGCTACCTTAGAATTACAAAGTTCTATTAGCCCTTTTTGACTGTTTTGAGTTACCTAGACCTTGTCTATTTGCACTATCAAAATCGAGGGATTACTTGGAGTCGTCATCAAAATGTTTAAACTATTGCATTCGAAAAAGCTTGACATGTTGGGAAACTCAATATTTTTACATACAATTTCTCGTAACTACTTACTGTGCAGATAGAACTTTGTAATTCTAAGGTAGCGAAATAACAACTCCATTTTAATGTCAAGGTCTATGGGTGGGGTGAGCAGTTCAAACAACTCAGAGACTCATATGAGTAACGAACCACATGCAAACACCAAAGACACACACACATATTATGTGCACACATACACACATACGCACACACATACACAAAAATACGTATATGCAAACACACATACACGCACACACAAACATACACACTTGAACACACACACACACACACACACACACACACACACACACACACACATACTCATACCTGTACACGTGCACACACACGTACACATGCACACACACACACACACACACACACACACACACACACACACATACACACGCACGCACAGACACACACTTAAACACAAACACACTTAAACACACTTAAAAACACATACCTACTACATATCTATATACACGACGTGTACACACATCCAAACATACGCTTACTTTTACTCACTTTTACTTTTTTTGTTCCGCTTGTACCGGTGGGTGTCGCGGAGAGACACAGGCGTCTGTCTGCAGCAAAGTGAGTGACCTGTAGGAGGGACATCCCGTGAGCTCTGAGGGTGTCTGCCACAGATTCACTCCATTGTCGCCTTGGTATTCCTCTGGCTCTCCATCCAGAATATTTATTGTTGTATGCTCTCAGAGCTGGATGGTTTGAGGGCATCCGCGTGAGGTGTTCGAACCGCTTGACATTTTGTTTTTCAATCTTTTATTTTCTTGAGCAATATTAATATCCACTGCTGACCTGCTAAGCCAGTCGCAGTTTCACCAGAGCCCCGTTGACCAGCAACGTTTCAGGGTGACCCGGGACGGCCTTCATGGCTAGTGTAACGCCTCAGTGACATAAAGCCACACCGTTTTCACCCAGACCCAGCTATCCCCTACTTTGTCCTGTTTCCATCTCCCACGGCGGGGACGAGAGGTTGGACTTCGAGAGACCCAAACATACACACATGCGAGAAACAAAAGACAGAATTTCGACGAACATGCAGATTTCTATGGTAGTAGAAATCTGGTTTACTGTATTCTTCCCAGGAAGTTGAGATTTTTTCGGGATACCGTCAGATCTGCTGAAGTAATAATATAGATTGTAAAGCACGGAGAGCTTCCTGTTGAACGGGAATTTGAGCTGTACAAAGGCTGTCAATTATTGTTTTTATTATCATTTTGTTCCATTCTTCATTAGGTCAGTCATCAGTTCCAGTATTAATGTTTTGTTTAATCTTTCAGACGTCAACCTGAATATTCAGACAAGCTGTACTTCAAACCGTACACTCGGGTTGCACCTTTCGCTATTGGACTCATCTTTGGTTATATACTTTACAAAGCGAAGGGCAAAGTGCAGATGAACAAGGTAACGTAACAGCTGTGGCAAAGAATAATTGCTTACCACGGTGATTCTTTTTTCCTGTATCACCCCATCGGTCTCTTTCCATTTACTATATTCTCCAATTTTTACGTTTACTCATTGTTCTAGCTAATGGCAACGTCGTGATGACACACTCGCCCCCTC